AATCTCTTCCAACGCAAGTTGACCAGGGTGGACGCCTTTGAACCATTCGAACAGCCGGGAGCCCTACGATCGCTGATGTTTGGGGTCCTCTAAGTGCCTTTCAGAGCGTGCTCTTCAGGTCTGATGCACCGAGTGCCAGGCCGTGGCGAACATGGTTGTCGCACACACGACCTTTTGTGTGTGTGCAGCTTTCTCTCGTTGGTGATCAGAGTGGTGAGAACGTCCGTCAGTGTAAGGGGGTTTGCACATTCCGATTTTTGAGAAACGTCTGCTCGTGCCCTTGATCCTTGAGATGTGTACATTGAGCAGGAAGACAGATGCTGAAGGCAAGGTTCAGCAAGAGTGCACACAGATCCTCAGTTCTTTCGTCTTTTAGATTTTTTAGGCTTCACTTGAAGCACCTTCAACACTAGGACACTTTCATGGATTGCTCCTCGGAAATAGACAAGTGCCAGACTCAAAAAAACCGTTCCAGGTGGCGTGAAGGAGGTGCGAGACCTGTAGATTCCGACAGACTGGTCAAGTTCAGCTTTGACGGATCTCAGAGTCTGCAAGAGTCAAAGAACCCTTCCTCGGTCTTATAAGGTGGAAGTGCAGACAGATTTGGAAGGACTTGAGGGAGGAAGAAGTGGATGGTCCTGGTCTCCATGCAGCACACAAACAACATCATGGTGGCATATATACTTATGATGGGCCCTAGCTGCGAATGGCAAAGCCTCCAAGCGTTTCAGGACAATGCGCTGGGCAACCTGACTTTGATGTGGGCCCTTCGGTGAGTTCGCTGTCTGGCGCTGGTCCGTTGCCACGCGCAGAGGAGAGGTCAAGCAAGGGACTACGGCTTTTTTTCCCCCACACGAAAGTGACGAAAGTCCTCTGCAGGAGACTGCAGCAGAAACGGTCCCAGATTGGTGCGAATCTTAGCAGAGCGAGAATGAACGGAATGAATCTTGGATTGCAAATCCTTGTGGGGCTATCAGCATACTAGGAGCCAGGATGCTATTAGGTGGAGGACATCGCAAGTACAGTAGGTTGGAGGCCATCGCTACTAGTAACTAGAAGCTATTAGGTTGGAGGCATCAATGATAGATGTGACAGGCTTATTTGCGGGGTAAGAATCGAACAAAAACGCGCTATGGACCCTCAGTGCCGAACGCACATCGGAAGACACTGGAAGTGTCAGGCCGAAACCGGAGCTGAACGTGGAGCAGCGGGAGGCGTTCTTCGGATTCCTCAACTTTTCAAGTCCTAGTAGCGTCCTAGTAGCGTCCTTGCTCCTAGTAGCGATGCCAGGAGCCCCTAGTAGCGTCCTTGCTCCGTTCGTAGCGATGCCCTTTGTCTTGGCCCTGTGCAGGAGCCCCTTGACTTGAAGCCAGAACCGCCCAGCTTGGGGGCAACATTGAGTGAGGAGCGCTTTGCAGTTGGGGCTGTCAACGCCATGGGCGTCTGTCCATGGCGTGCCTTGTGGCGTTGTGTTGACTCATGAGTCGAAAACCTGTGGCCTTCCCCCTCAGCTATTTAGGCTTAGCTCAGCTTCAGGCTGAAGGCCATGAGGACACAGGGGAACTCCGTTTATCAAGCCTTCCAGAGCGATGATGATGAAGAACTTCAACCTGATGCCCCAGACCTTTCACTACGGAGGCCCCATGCATGTTGCTCTAAGAATAGTTTGGGAATTCTGCAATAAGGATAGTTTGGCATGTTGACACACTTGTGTCATTTGTAATGTGAATTTTGACATGTTGTCACCTAGATGTTCACAGCTTGCACTCAAACTGTGATCGCTACCTAGATGTTTGGAAGACTCTTGATCCATCTTCCAGGTTCAAGATTGGCCAAGTCGTTGGGACTTTGCTGGCGACGCTGGGCTTCTGCATGATGGTCTTGCAGCTCAGCGCGGGCAGCGCGCCCGGACTTCCGGCGGAGGGCGACTCCGGATCCGCGAGGCCCGTGATTTACATCGAGGATCAATATCAAGTACCCAGCGCTTGCCTCACTGCTATGTTGAGACTTGACCTGTTTCATGCTGTTTGAAATCAGGCCGCTACTTTTGACAAAAGAACTAAGTAGCGACCTGACTGTGTTCACTGCAAAACATTGGAAGCCAGACATTGATTCTCATCGTGGCGGGCAGATGATAGACAGGTGCAGGGGTGGCAATGACTGTGAATATCAAACCAAGAAGATTTCAGGCATTTCTAGACACGTCGAATGAAACACCAGAGATTAGCCGAGGATCGGTGCCATTGGTGCAACGTGCTGTCTTAGCTGCTGCTCCCACCAGGACTTGAGAGATGGGGGGATCTTAGACTCCCCCAATTTGGGTCTTGCACTTTGTTCGGCTAACATGATAGAGAAAACATGTTCTCAACAGAGGATTGCTGTGCAGACTGCTGTGGCGGCTGCTGCCAACACCTTTGGGCCTTTGTTTGTGCGTCATTGGGATGTGTGTAACTTGGCGTGGTCGAATGGGCAGACAATCTCGGATACACCCTGAAGCACTGAGGCCGGCTTGCCGAGTTTCGCCGGATATTTCTGATTTCATCGAACCCTGCTTCTTCAAAAGTAGGTAGGAGGCAATTGCATTCACATACAATGTAGCTACATGTTCCGGATTGCCAAAAGTTCCTGTGGATCTCCAGAGCAAGCTGAGGCCAGCCAGTTCCCTGGTGTCCATGTGGATGGCAACGCTGGGTAGTTGCTTGAATTTGGAAGGTGGAGGAGAGAAACAGAGAGTTAGACATCGAGAGAGAAAAAGAGGATGGATCGATGATTGGATGGATGAATGAAGGGATGGATGAATGAAGGGAGGGGGAGGACCTGAGAAGTGCATTTTCCTAAATTGGTTTGCAAGGCTCTCCGGCTCTCCCAGTGGCGCTTTGGGCTGAGGTGTCCCAGGTGGCTGTTTGCTATTTGTCAAGGGCCTCATCTTTTCTGGCTGCGGCTTTCTTGGAGGTTCGGGGGACCCAGCTGCACCGGAAAAGACAGACCGTGGACCGATTGGCCGACCGTGGACCGTTCAGGCGTCACCCTCACAGGTGCAGCAGCAGCCGCTGGCTATCATTTCTGCAACCTGGCTCCTCACTTGTGCATCAGCACAGTTGTTTGAAGAGAGATTGACAGTGTGGCCCTTTAAGCCCAGGCAAGCGTTACAATGAAGCATGTGGCGGATGTGTTAGCTGAGCCATGCTGGGCGGGTCCATTTCTTTTGAATTCGGTCTGCACTCAACCTGAGTCCGTCGTTGTTGGACTTGGCAACACTATTCTTGCCAATTGACCATGTATTTGCAGCACAAAGTCTTGAATTCCATAACACACCTGTGGTGCTCCAAAGCATGTATGCCTGCGGCTTGAAGTTGGAATCCCGACGGAGTTGGGTTTTGAGTATGCAAGGGCCCGACCAAGATCTCTTGCGACACTTGCACAGAGTGGCACAGGTCCACATTCAATCACATTAAAACTGGGCGCGTCAGCGCTCTTTTTCTTTGGATCGGTGCTGGCTGGGCACGTCATGACTAGTAACAAGAGGCTCCTGGCATCGCTACTAGGAGCAAGGACGCTACTAGGGGCTCCTGGCATCGCTACTAGGAGCAAGGACGCTACTAGGGTTCCTCAAGGAAGCGTCCCCCTACCGTTGCTTGAACTGGACATGTTGACCAGCTGAGCCTGTGAGGAGTATCCGGCCTTGGTCTCTCGTGACGCCGGCACGCCCTTACCAGAAGCCCCAGAGGCCACTGTGGAGGTGCCGCTCGAGGCGCAGGCGCTGGAGATGTGGAGACATCATACCTAGATGGAAGACAAGTCACACTCCCTGGCCATATTTGGCCTTTGCACTGCACTCAGACCTGTGGGCCCACCTGTGGATGTAGAAAAGAACAGCTTGCAGGTGATCACGTCTCAGATTGTTGCAGAACCTGTCCAGATTCAAACGGAGCCAGTTGCTGCTGTTGCAAGGCAACTTACGCACCACGTCTGCAGTCTGCTCTTGTTTGTGAGTGCATTCTTCATAGTAAGTTCATAGATGTTTGTTGACTCAAGTTGACTCTTTCCACGGCTCTCCTATGTCAGACCTGCGTACCTCACTAAGTACTTTGCCACTGCGGTCAGCTCGGGCGCACCGGAGTAGCTTGGACGCAGTCGACTCCTCCGGGGCCGGTCGCGACCGGTGGCGCTCGCCGAGGCATCTCCACTCCTCCGACGTCCAGCGTTCCGACGCTTCTTTCGCCTCTTGGGTGAGAGAAACACGGGATGAGCCCCGCGGTAGGCCGAAAACCCACCAGTTGAACGCTCGAAACGAAACAAAGACCAACGTGTGTTTAATCTCTGCTCTCAGATGACTCAGGTGTGGCAGTTGTCATAAGATTTCAACATCCATGGCTCCTTTCACTTGTGCCACACATTAGTGGAAGCGGACCGCATTCCCTGAGGCGGTGCCATTCCCTGGCGGCCTCCCGCCGTTTCTGTGAGGATGTGAAAAAGCGTGCCCTTCAGCAGCAGGCAGCACTGGTGACGCTTGATGCGAGCTGAGGTTGCATAGGGGGGAACTGCAACTCTGGTCAACAACGCTAGCATGACGAGTTTCTCATTTTTTGCTGGTTGAAATTGGTTGAGTAGTGTCCCACCGTGGCATGTGACCTCTTTGGCTTCTGCATGTGGCATGTGACTGATTCTGCGATCTATTTTGAGGGCCCAAGTAGGGTTAGTTCGCTTGACTGAAGAGCCCCGAGTCTTGCTGAGACTGCCATGGAGGAAGGGCTGCCGCCAAAGAAACCGTCCCTTGATCGTCCAGATGTACTAGAATGATGTTGAGTTGATGCAAGCGGTGCAGTGGGGCTAAAGAAATGACCCAAGCAACTCTTTTGAAGTACATGTCGTTCATTTTACATCTGCTTAGGTCTTTGGCACTGGAGGAGTCAGACTACTCTTGGAATGAGGATACTCTGCCAGCGGCCAAGAAGGATAAGCTCACCGTCGCAGTGGTTTGCGTCGATAAGTCCGGCCACATGCTTCCCGTCCTGTACATTTGCGGCGAGCTGGCCAAGCGAGGGCATCGGGTTCGCGTGCACGTGCCGGGGTATGGACAAAACGAGTTCGAAAAGCTGCTTGGCAAGACACATTGCTTTCTTTCTTCCTTTTCTTCATCTTTGCAAACCATAGAGGGAAGGTTTCAGACCAGACCTGCTTCCCTTCAGGAAGGTGAAGCAGGTTGGAGCGGAGTTCGTCCCTTTGGACATGCAGGGCTACACCAGCGAAAGCATCGAAAGCTCAGCAAAGGCTTCTGGCAAAATAATATTTTTGTTGCTGGAGGAAGTCATGATTCCAGCTCTGAGAAGCGAATTCACCAGATGTCACCAAGCACTTGAATCCAGAAGTTTTGGGGTCCTTTCGTGATCTTTCTTGCAGTTTTCTTGTTTTGGCCTTGAGCCTCAATAGTGCTCAGACGTTCAGATAAAACATGTTCAAATAAATGTTTTCCTTCATGGATGTCAAATGATTTTTTATGCCAATGACACACGTGTGAGGTAAGCCAGATGCCGTGCTGGTGGACTTTGCTTCAATTGCTGGATGTCAAGTGGCTGAGGAGATGGGAATCCCGTTGGTGCTGAATGTGCCCGGGCCACTGTCATTGGTCCGGGCCTTCTGTGGCATGGTGCTCCAGCTGAGATGCGATTTGCAAGTTTTGATGTATGGATTGGTTTGTTTGTGCATTCATAACTTCATAATAACGGTGAGAGACCTATACTGGTTTTACATTCGTGCTTCTAGATCTTCAGGCTTATCAACTCTTCTTGATTTGCGTGGTTTGTGTGGTTCTGTGAGGGCAATATCATGTATTTTAAACCTATATGCATCGAATTGCGATTCGACCTGCTTCTCTTTGCCTTTCGCCACACTGAGAGGTGGACACATCTACAGCATTCAACTTCTTAGGGATTCACATCGGGCGGCAGCGATTGAACACGCTGTCCTTGGTGAGATTTCTCGGGGTGAGGCAAATGTCCAAGTGGGGCGACAAGCTGCGTGGATATATTGCCCGAGGCACGTCAGCGTCAGCGGTCCGGTCCCGCTTTTTTTGGTTGGGCCATTGAATTCGGTCAAGTCAAACATGTTTCGTATAATGCCTTTGACGTTTGACACATGTTTGACACGTAGATGTTTGATGATGTTTGATGTTTGATGCTCGTACAGTTTCGTTGAGCATGCTTCTTCATTTGTCGGTTTAGCCTAGCCAGGTTTGCTTTGCTTCGTTCGCCTTGAATGGCTCCAGTGTGTAGGAGCAATGGTGCTAGTCCAGACCATTTGGGGTCTGGACAAGACCATGCCAATCTATCCCAACATCATCGTGACTGGCCCTGTGCTACCCCCAGCAGCCGATTTACGAGACAAGCTTGCTAAGAACCATCCGGATCTCTGCAAGTTTCTTCGTGCATCCCCAGATGGTGTGGTCTATGTGACCACCGGCAGTTTGGCAAAGCTTCACGACTGGCAGGTGCGTGTGATTTTCAAAGGTCTGAAGAAGGCGAAGTACCGTGTAGTGTGGAGCTTGAAGGAGGAACTACAAGCATTTTTGCCGGTCAAGGACAGAGCACCATGAAACGTGATAGCTGATAGCAGTTTAGCCGTTTACCATTTGGCCTATAGAGGGATCTTCGGACCCTGTGTTTCCCGCTTCGTTGGTCATGTGTTCCACCTCTTCAAACGTTCTTCGACCTCCGAAACCGAGAGCGGAAAAAAATCGCGGTTCGCAACTCGTTGGCAGGACGATCCGGACTTCTTCGTCAGCAAGTGGACACCACAAGCCGAACTGCTCCAAGATCCTTCCGTGAAAGTGGTCATCACACATTGCGGTTGGGGTGGTACGCTCGAGACTTGGTGAGCAAAGGCTAGATGGACTTGACCGGTTTGGGGTTTGGGGATGTTGAAAAGTGATGTGCTTCTTCTTCCTTCTTCTTCCTAAGGAAACCTTGACGGCTGCCAAACCGATCATCGCCATCCCATTCTTTGGGGATCAGCCAGAGAATGCTCAGCTGTTGAAGGAGTACGGTGCTGCAGAATTGATTGGGAAGATCCCAACTGGAGCCGAAAAGGAGCCCAACCCCTACAAGGAGGGTTGGATCACCGAAGAGAGCGTATCCTCTGCCGTCATTAAGGCGTGGAAAGTATGTCCGACTCGTCCGCCACCCTTTCCCCTGCGGACCACCATGGAACCCCAAAACCACTGGGTTGTAGAGGAAAATGGTCTTCCACCGGTCAATTCTCAGGTTGGTGAAGTGTTTTGCCGGCTCCGTGCTGTGCGTGTTGACCCCGCGTGTTGATGTCTGTGTTTGACCCGCGCTTCGCATGAACTCCGTGACTCGTCATTGGTCGTTGGCGAGCACTGCCTTTGCGGAGGGTAGTTTTGGAGCTGTTAGGACAAGTATTTCAAGCGCTATCCCAGAAGCGCTTCGGCCGATGCTTCTAGCTTTGCAGTGAAGCCATAGCTGGGTAGGGTGGCTGTGGAGCACGAGCAGCTTAGAGGAACGGCCTTCAGAAACCTTGGGAATATCTTCGCGTGCTTTGGGAAAGTCCTCAGCGCTCCTTATTTAAGAATCACGTTTTAAAACCCGCTGGTTCGCAGAACCACTCTGGGTTCGCCACACACGGCCACACCAAACTCCGAAGGCTTGCGTGCGATGTACTGTTGGGTAAACACAAATACGCATCGTCCTGGATTGCACTTCAATTTCTTTCTGACCGTGTGTTTGATCCATTGTTTTATGTCATTGTTAGTGCGGTTTGCACTTTTCGTCGCCTTTTCTACTATCACTCTGTTCTAGCAAGTGAAATGTACATTCTTGAATCCTCGACAACTGTTCGGGGGGCCGTGCTCCGCCCTCGCTAAGTATTTTCAGAAAGTGTCCTGGACACCCTTACCCAATGGAATCATACAAACCAGCAGTGGTCATGAGGTTGACCTCCGTCACCAATCCACCCATGAGATCCGTAAAATCTTGCGGGAGGCATGGTCCACATATGTATGGTCCCAGGTGAGCCATCGTAAGGGCATCATTGATGTCCCCTTTGATTTCTTCACGCAACACAAAGTTCTTGGTCGGCTCTCAGACACTACCCTCCAGTTGATCGCCTTGAACATTACCGGGGGTTTTCAGACAGGAGCAGTTAAACAGCTTTGGGACAGCACTCAGTCTATTGCCTGTCCTTTCTGTGGTATGGATGATACCCACTCTCATCGTCTCCTTGAGTGTGCGTCTTTTCAACACGTTCGTGATCAACATCCTGAAGCCATTCGGATTTTGCGTGATTTTCCTAACTTGCAGTATTTTCCGATCGCAACTACTCACTCAATGCAGATAATTTATAACCGTCTCAAATTATGCAGGACGGGTCCATTCTTGGATCATCCTAATTTTGCAGACACTGATCATCTTCACCTTTGGACGGATGGGCCCTGCGATCGTCCCAAAGACCTTAACTGCTGTCGTGCCGCCTGGGCGGTTGTCCAGCAGGCCTCATATCATCCGTCCGACCCATCTTTCCACGATTTTGTGGTTGTCCAGGCGGCACATGTGTCAGGTAATCAATCCATAAACCGTGGTGAGCTTGGTTCAGTTGAATGGATCTCTCGAACAGTCCCGCAGCTCTTCCCTTCTCGACCGGTCGATATTTACTCGGATTCCGCTTTCACAGTCCGCATTGTCCAAGCTATTGCTTCCCCACACCTTAACACCTAGAGACTTTCATCTTGCCCACTACGATCTGATTCAGAGTTTGCAATCGACGTGGAATCCAGACCTTTTTCAATATCCATAAGGTCAAGTCTCATCGTGACAAATCTTCAGCATCCTCAGTTGATGATCTTTTTTCGATACTGGGCAATGATGTTGCCGACGCTACAGCTAAGATGATACAGCTAAGCAAGATATACAGGACGGGAGAAACGATGCAGCTAATCAGATCTTTACGCATCGTGCTTACGCACAACGATCTTGCGAAAACAGCCACGACTTGAATGCTCTTTCTTCACGACTTGAATGCTCTTCAAACGCGTGCCTTTTTTCTACACGAAAAGGAGCGAGACCCCGATGATGTCAATGACACAAATGGCGTGGATGCCTAATGGCGATGTACAAAGAACATCTTGCGAAATGGCTGGTAGGTGCTCCTTTCTGGACCTTAACCACAGATCTTCTGCCTGAGTGGCGCGTGCTTGTCCAGCAGGGGTGCAAGAAGCGTGCTTGGTGTGGGCCTTTTTTCAGCAATTGAAATGGCGACATCCAACGACCCCTGTTATTAGTGGCGATTACGGGATCACTTGGATTGAACTGGCGGTTCATTTCCATTTGTTTGCCGGGCGACAGCTTCCTCTCTGGATTCGCGATTCGACTGATAACATATGATTCAGCTGAAGCTTCCATTCAACCCAAGGCTTCCCGCAGCCTGTGTAACCAAGCCTCTACACTTCGTGGCATAGTTCGCTATTTGGAAAATACAATGCAATGTCAGATCTTCCCACGATATAAAATATCATGCGCATCGTCGCTGGTTAGACTTGGTTTTCACAGGAGTCTGGTGGGCGGCATTTCCTCTCGTCCCAACTTGCCAATGGCCGACCAAGCCATGCAAGGTGTAACTGCATATTCCTCCCTGCCAGACCAGGGGTATCCGCTCAATGTTCGCCTTCCTATCCAGATTTTGCCAGACCATGCAGGTCCACCTTGTCCGTTGCCTGCTCCGCTACCATTTTCGGTCCGTCACAATTTGTACCAGAAGGTCAAGAAATACCTTCGTCTGAAGAAACCGCTGGCATCCATTTCTGAGAGTGGCTGAATTCATCTTCCTCTTAATTCACCTCTGTCTCACTTCCGTGTCTTAAACCGGTATTGTGAGTGGTGCTGTGCATATTGAATTGATACCATTGTGTTCTTGTCATTATACTCTTCCCTCGGGCACCCCACATAGTGGAAGGGCTCTAGAGGGGCGCGACGACAGTGTCCGCAAGTCGTGTGTGGTCCCGTTTTGTATTTTTTGAGCATCCCCCCCATGGTGGTCCCTTAAATTGGCCTGCGCACTGTGCAGGGTCAGAGAAATTACACACGGACAACCTCAAAAGACTCAGAAGTCAAAGGTTTATATAATTAGTTAATTATTACAAGGAAAACGGCCTTTTGAGAACCTTCAGAGAACAAGTCTTCGAGCCTCAAGTCCTCAACGATTCGGGTGGCTTGTGCAGAGCCTACAGATTTCCACACCCAACTCCGACTTGACCCGCAGTTGATGAGCAACCCATCCTATGCCAAAGCAGCAGCGAAGCTCATGAACGCTTCTCGAGCCTCTGGTGGTGTAGAAGCTGCTGGTGAGCATGTGAAGTGGGCTGCGCGCTATGGCACGAGCCACTTGAAACCAGAGAACTTTTTGCAACTCAGCATCAAGCAGCTATGGCAACTGAAGCTTCTTGCAAAAGTTGTTCCAAGCATGGAGAGTTGGCTCCGTTCTTTTGCAAAGAAAGTGATATTAAGAAGCTACTAGCAAAGGGCATCGCTACTAGTAACAGGATGTAACAGGGGCATTACTACTAGTAGCAAATAGCTCCTAGTAACAAGAAGCTGCAAGAAGCTACTATATATACCGGATTCAAGACCTGAGACATCAGACGCTACCGGCCCCGACTTCCCCCCTTCGACTCCACGGCGAATCGACCATCAACGAGCCGAATCTCTCGGGGCATCCCGACCGGGTCAAGTCTAAATCGATCTGCCATCCAGACGCTCCGCATCTTCGGCAGCTTTGGGAACCACATGACGTTCCTCATTACCAGTGCTTTGAAGCACTGTAGAAATACCTTGGCAAGTGCACAGCAGCAACGGATGAGGACTAAGAACAAGAATGACAAACCATGACCCGGTGTCCGAATCCGAATGGGCAGTGACAACGTTTAACACCTGAAAAGCATTTGACACATCCTTTTCGAGACATGTACGACTTCGGCAGGGACAGCATACAAAGCATGACGTCTAGAAGCAAACGTTAAGGTTGTGCACCATTTCACCATCCCCACTCTTCCTGCAGTAACTTACATTTGCCCTTTTCATTTTAAATTGGACTCATTCTGCTCGGTAGTTTTTCTCGCCCTCCACACGTCAAGCTCGCAGCGATGGGAATCGTATTATGGAATAGATTGGCTGGAGACGTTCACTTTCACCGGCGGTAAGACCATCCCATCTGGGCATATCTGGGCAAAATGGGCTCCTGGCATCGCTACTAGGAGCAAGGATGCTACTAGGGGCTCCTGGCCTTACTGCTAGGAGCAAGGACGCCTCGCTTTTCCTTCGTTGATCATTCCGCCAACCAACCCTCACCAGCGATCCAGGCCGCCTTACGTGTGGCGTTCGCACCGCACCACTGCACCAACCAGGCCCTGCCAAATGCTGCCTACCTGCCACCTGCGAGTGAGAACCTCATACGCCGTCACCACAAGAACTCACCGCTGGACCAGCGCCGCTGGGTTCCAGAACACGGATGAACACCAGGTACAATGTTTTTTTTGACTTTGCATTCTGTGTTCCTTTTCAATCCTCTCTCAGGTATTCGACCGGGTCGAACCCCTACAGCGGCGTGGTCGTCGGACTGATCAGCCTGTGTGCCTGTGCAGGTGCTTTTGCATTCTTTAAGGCGACATCCAAGTAGGTTCGAGAAGCAGGCACTGGCACTCCAGCTTTGAAAAGGAGCTGGAGCTTTGCCGCCGTGTGAGTGTGACTGATTGTGCGATCCCAAAAGAGGTTTTGCAATTGGCATTTCCCAATGCCTGCAGTTCCCACAGCGACAGCATTGATTCGAGTGGAAAGAGGACTCTTGCCACGAGAGATTCTCAATGATTATCAGTTGAATGTGCATGCACTGGCGTTTTCTTGGCGCCAGTGTTGCCTGTGTAGTTCGTGTCAGGCAGAGCTGAAGGAGGCACAATGCCGTGGAGAAGCGCTGATGCTGGAGCTCTTCCGTGAGCAACAGGCCCGACATGTCGACACGCGGGTGGCCCTACCACTGGGCATTGATGGTGCATTATCTTGTATTATCATTGTCATTATGCATACATAATTATACAGTATACATATACATACACGTACATACACACAAATATACAATATACGGTTTATGAATTGTTTCAACCGAATCTTTTGAGCCGCTTTTTCTCTTTCGTTCCGTTAGGGTTGCTTTGCCTTCTTCAGGTCGTTGAGAGTTGCTTTCCAAATGTGACGACTGCAGATACATCAGATGCTTGTTCGATGCTGATAGGAATTGGACGAGCTGCGGCGCCAGCAGATTGTGTGACCTGGTTTGGGGTTTGAAGTCCTTGAAAGATGTCTATGCTGGGAAACTTTTTGCCCACGAGACGGGACGGATGTCATGACTTATTCCAAGTTTCAAGAGTGTCATGACATCACATGTGTCACTTTGTCTTCGGAAGTTCCGTCCATATTCCGGCGGCTCCCACCAAGGCACGGTGCTTTAAGACTGAGCGAGCCGCGCCAGGGGGTTTTCGCCGGGTGATCACGGCCCAGAGAGTTCTACGGCCACGGCAGGACATCAAGACACAAGACTCGGATGTGACTTGCTCACCTTTCCTAGCAAGGACCCTACCAGTAACAAAGGGCATCGCTGCGAGCGGCTCGGACGCTAGTAGCTCCCTATACTAGACCCGAATATCTAAGAATCCGTCAATGTCAGTTTCTGGGGGTGTTTCCCTCAGTCACGTGGGAATGGTGATGTGGCCAAAGCGACGCCAAAGGCGCTGGGAAAAGAGCCGAACTCCTGCAAACATACACCATGCATCTATGGAGACAAGTGCATCCTTTGTTTTGCAGAACTAATGGGGTTCTTCTCAACTCGACCTCGCAATCACACAATTCCCACTCCTGGGACCCCTGCAGGTGCTCCTACAACTTGGTGGATGGCAAACAGGCCTGGTTGAAATACATTTCAGAATCAAGCGCCTGAAGGCCCTCAAAGGCCCTGATGTGTGTTCTTGTTGTAATAAATACGTAATATTAGTTTAATTAACTTATGACCTTAATGACCTTTATTGGTGTGTTTGCGGGGGGGTCCACGAGGGGCCAGAGTCGGCAAAATGAAGGCAGTCACCGCAGCAGTCACTGTCCCGAGGCTTGCAGCAATCGTGACCTACTTCAGCGAGACCTTAGGGATCGGATGGGCCGGCGTCTTGGGATTGGATTCCATGCAGTTAAAGAAAGTGACGCTGACGCCAGACTTGTGTGGTTCAAACATGTTCAAATTTGTATGGCCCAAGGATATCGGAACTTTGCACCTGCCTTAGTAGCGAGAAGATTGAAGACTCCTTGTTCAGTGCTTTCTGTAGCTACAGGTGGTGAGTGACTGGTGGGCCATTCGAGACGATGAGGCACCGGCGGCTGGACCGATCTCGACTCATGAACTAATAATCAACGAATGACAACGAACTAGTGGCGGAAAGGGGGACGGCTGTGTTTTCGTTTGGGGGGCCATGATGGGCAAAACAGCAGCCGTAGCAAGACAGCAAGACGGCCGTAGCTTGATGAGCCACGATGAACCGCAAAGAATTGCACCTGCTTCAATAAGAATCCTTTGCACATACAAGTTGCTGTCAGGCAGCGAAAGCTGGCACGAACATCGTGTGACACCTAGATTTTTGTTTGGTCAAGTTCCCGTCTCATTGATACGCGGAGACGTGGTAACAAAGAGCGAAGAGAGGAAAGAGGAACAGAAGGAAGGTAGGGGATAGATAGGGATAGTAAGGGCGCCTTTAGCATTTAGAGGGACTTTATCAAAGGCACCCTTAGCTTCCTTTTTTTCACTTTATTGTGTTTAATATGTTCTCTTTGTTTTGTCCACTGACTGCCAGTCGATACATCCGGCTGTTGTGGCCAACTTGAGGGATCCAGTTGGATTCCCCAACATCCTTTTATTGTGTTTAAACGCAGCCATTTGGCAGGTCTCTCCACTTTTTAAAGCATATACGGTGCTCCTCCACACGGTGCCTTTCCAGAGGTTCCAACGGTCGCGTTACAGACATAGGCTTCCATTTCGTTGATGGCTGGACTCGATGCTGGTGATGTCGTTTTCTGTTCTTACAAGAACTAGGCCCTAGGGGTCATCTACGATTATGGACTCTCTCCCACGGACCAGCATGGTCATTTCCCGGCTGCCGGCTTGCTTATTGAATTATTGGCATTCCTTGGTGCTTGATCTATCGACGACCTTGCGAGCGCCATTCAACCAAGTGTGATATTTCAAGGCCTTAAAAGGTAGGGTCAGGGAGGAGGGGAGGTGTAGGAGCACTTGACTCTTACTGACTTGGCTTCTTTTTGCTCAGAATATGCCTGGAGATGACCAGAGATACTCCAAGTCTCAAGCTCAGATGATCAAATCCAATCTCTGAAAGTTCAAAGGCTATATCCACTGCATAAATACCCAGAATTTGGCCCAGAATCCCCAATCCGTCCCGTCATAATCCTACCAAGAATGTAGGTAGGTGAGAATCTTGCTTGTGTAGGCAACCATGTTCTTTTTTGGAGACGAACGACCCGCATACTTGACCCAATATTTTGGTAAAGTCTGTGCTTGAATGATCTTGAGCACTCTTTCTGCGGCTTCGGTTTGGTGGACTGGACAGGCGCACTGGAAGTGGTTTGGATCGCATGTGTTTCGGCTCCAGCCGCGCGGGGATGCTCGCGACGCGGAAATACGTCGGTGTCTACTGTTACATACACAGATTCCATGCTATGTCGATGTGCTTCTTGCTAGGCTTCTTGGCAATGAACTGCTCAAAGTCAACTTAAAGCTATTTTCCTGGCCAACTTTGCTTGTTTGGGCAACTTAGGTAGTGCGCTGCTCCTGCCGCTTTGCGGGGGTTCGACTATCTATGGCTACAAAGAAGCCTTTGCACATGTCTCTGATCTCACTGCCCAGGCATCCTTGAAGTGATTAAACCGAACATTAGCAACATGTTTTTGCTTGTTAGTTTGGCCGCGGCAGGTAAGTCCACAGGGCAGTGCCCAGATCAAACGGCACAAGCTTCTCCGAAAGGCCAGCGTAAAGCATGGACAGCTAACGTTTGGATTGTTTTAGGCTCACATGAATGCGCAGATGTGTTTACCACAGTTGATAGTCCTGCGGGAGGTGTTCGTGTAAACGTGATACGCACCTTTTCTTTGCTATATGAGGAGGCACGGCTTGATGATCACCATTTTCGGGAGCAGCTTCCAGACACCTGGCGGAATGAGAAGGACAACATTTATCGTTCGCTCCCATTCTTCCGCCCACTGGCAGAGCACGGCAAATCTAAGGGCGCAGCGTCTTTGCTTGCAGTTTCTCGGTTTGCAACCGGCACATCATGGCATCAAACAGAGCGGGGTGACTGCGTTTGAAGTCTCTGGTCTTGCAACATCTTGCAACCTCTGTTGCCAAGGAGTCAGGCAGGATCTCTAAGCTGCTCGGTTGCACGTTGAAGATCCTTAGATCCGACGGAACTGTCAGGCAAGTCATCAATCTCTTCCGTTTTATGACCCGCTCGCACAGGACTAGGCGAGCCCGACGAGCGCGTGCGAGATACTTGCCACAATATCCCACTGGCCCAGCCACATGTGATGGGAGCCAGTACCTTGGCGAGCAATCAGGAGCAAGATGAGCAAGGCACCCTCATGACTCATGAGTGTAGGGCTTTCGGTGTTCTAGCAGCCCGGAATGAATGCTTTAGTAGGACATACTGTACTGTGCCATACCTTTAAACCTGCTTTTAGATTGGCTCAGCACATCTCAGCCACTTCACTATTCTTCATAAGCAGCACAGCATTGTTCTCTATGTTTCTCCAAGGTTGCCGTGCCCACCTTAGTGCTCAGAGTGCGCTCTACCGGAGTCGGAGAAACGTGAGCTGCATGTGCTAAACTCCGAGGTGTCCAAGTGACTCTAGCACCCTTGGCTGCAGGTTTCAACACGTGTCAGCATTTGTCACAGCACCAAATGAGTGAACAAAACAGATCTTTTGCAGCTCAACCTTGTGACATCTATTTTGGAGTTTGCTCACGTGCCAAAAGCAATTACATATATAATCATATATAGATACAATATGATATAGATATTCTTGCCCATCCTTTCAAGACGCACAGGTGCAATTTCTTCCAAATCATCGGGTGAAAACGGCGCTGAGGTGTCGATCCCTGCTCGCAGTTGCAAAACTGCAGTACTGGTGCCTATCACGATTGCCAGGGCAGCTTAAAGGCCTGGGATCCTGCAGGGTCTTAAAACGATGCGTCCGAACGCTCCGTTCGTAGCGATGCCCTTGTTGCTAGCTTTTTGTTCAAGGAAGTCAGATGATGAGATATAAAACAATAAGTTAAAACAACAATACTATTTCCTTAGCTGTTTGGTCTGATTCGTTCCACTGATTGCCTGCTCAGATCTGCTTGCCGAACAAAGACGTTCCGAGCAGATGTGAATCAGGGGCAGCTTGGATGATGTGAAAATAGTGGTTGCGCGAGTCAACAAAGACCCAAGCTACAAAGGAAGCCACTGGCGGCCACTGGTAGAATGGTTCACGACAGGTGGACTGATAAAAGTTGGCGATTCGCAAGCACAAGCAAACAATTTCCTTTTTTTGCTTCAGGATGATTGCCTCTTGCGCTGCACGGGCATTTTTGTGGAGGACGCTTTGACGTTTTCTGTCTTCAGGAAGGACTTAAGAGAAGACCTCCTTACACCGTTTCAATCGCACGTGGATTCCCAACCAAACGACAGGAGAAGAGCGATGGCTCGCAAGGCGCTCCTCTTTGCACGGACTTGTCCCACGACGTTTGCAATGGACACTATGCCACTCGAATTGCATACTAATCATACTACATTCGTTCAACAGTCTTGGACCAACTCGACGTTTCGTTGAATATGAGTTCTTGGCCCGTGGGCCGAGTGCATGTGTGTGGAACAAACCTTCGAGGTGGCGGATAAGGACTACACCAATAACGGTCTGGGCAACTTGGACTAGAACAGCTGTGTCATCGTTCCTACAAGGCAACGATAATTCAAGTGACATCTGAGGATTTGAATGTGCTTTGAAAGACGACAAGACCTGTGGCAATGCTCAACTCTGTGGGGTCCAGAACCCGCCTGAAAGCTTGGGCGAGAAGCAATGCTATGTGTCCCAACAGCATTACTTGGTGCGAAACGACGACGACTGTTTGCTGCACCGCTTTCTGACGCGGACGCGGACGCCACAACGTTTATCAGGAGCCGGATGTCTTCAAAGGGGCTACTGATGGCACGTGCGAAACCACTCGGACACGACCTGGACATGAGTGCAAGACTCGATGCTATACAGGTGCGAGATGAGCATGACTCCATGCTCATGGTTGGAGGTGCATGCTATACCATTCACCCTCATGCTAATCCTCCCTATATATAATAAGAATCACAGAGATCGCTACTAGGGTGGAGGCCATGGCTAATAGCTAAGTTTCCCTAAAAATCTGGTAGGAAACAAATCATTAGTGCGAGCGCTTCTTCAAGGAAGCGTGAGCTATCCTGCGTCCTAAGTAGTAGCGTTCTTGCAGCTACTAGCTACCAGCTACTACTAGCGACCTACCTCTACAATACCAGCGGCCTACCCCCACCGGGCTAAAAATAGAAAAAGAAAACAACTAGTAAGGCACTTGTTTCTAGAAGCGATGCACTTGTTTCTACTAGCTTCTTGTTACTACTAGTAAGGCCAGGAGCCCCTAGTAGCTTCTTGCTCCTAGTAGTAAGGCACTTGTTTCTAGTAGCTTCTTGTTACTACTAGTAAGGCACTTGTTTCTAGAAGCGATGCACTTGTTTCTACTAGCTTCTTGTTACTACTAGTAAGGCCAGGATCCCCTAGTAGCTTCTTGCTCCTAGTAGTAAGGCACTTGTTTCTAGTAGCTTCTTGTTACTACTAGTAAGGCACTTGTTACTAGTAGCGTGGCACTTGTTACTACTAGCGCTTGTTTTTGAAAAGTATATAACGCATTCCAAAAAACTAAGAACATTCACTCCCCGGTTGCTCTTCGGCTTTACGGGCAACGGGCGGAGGCTATTCGCCTTCGGTGGCAACATTAAAGTGCGCAGAGACCGGCGAGTTCTCGCCGTGTCTTGTTGGCAGTCTTTGGATCAAGTTGTTGCCCACATGTTGTACTTTTTGTTCCTATCACACGCTGTTTGCTCTCTGTTTGACCATTTTGTATCCTGTTGTATGATTCTCCCTTGGGCCCGTGTAGACCTTTAAACCTTTCTTTCCTGAGTATTCTCATGACTTCTCATCTCGTCTGTCAACCTGAGGACCACTTTCACGTGCGAGCCGAACCCTTGCCAAGTCAAGTCGGTGCAGAATGCGCTTGCAAGCGGCTGCAAGGACACAGTCACAGGAAAACCATGGAAAACCCACACACCTTGGTCTCCAACCCCTTTCAACCCAAACAATGAGCATGGCTGATCGCTGAACTGCCGTAGTCCACCGTCGTAGTCGGAAGCGACTTCGTCGAGTCCGTGCCAGGAGGGTCCCAGCTCGGGCGAAGCCACCATCAACTCGGGGGAGAGCTGCACGACGCAGTGCAAGGCCGACCAACCGGGCTGCCGCAGCATAGGGAGGGGGTGGGGGAGGAGGCATTCTGCAGGCACTGTGGGGGTTTCAGCCTGGTTTTGGCAAGGTTTGATCCAACTGCCTGGACTTCAAACTCGAAAGAAGCAAGTGGTGGTCCGAATGGATCCTGACCGCTCAGTTTAGGCAGTTCTTGGACGCTGCACGTTCGAAGAACGCTGCGAGACGGCACAGGCGGGCTTTTATCCCTCTGTGGAACGCCTGCGATGCCATTCCGAGACGCCATCCGGGTGCACAAAGTCGGTTGCAATGCATAGCCGGCAGAGGTCAATGTTTTCCTGAGAGCTCTAGAATGTTCTAGAACATAGTAAGAGAACCCCCTCGGGACATTTTTGGACATGAGATTGGCATTAGTCATGAATAATCATGAATAGCTTCCGCGATTCCATGACAGAATATGTTGAGGACTGTGACGCTTCCGGGGTGGAGCAGCTTTTCAGCCTGTCAGACTCAAGCTGTGGTGCCGAGGCTCTCTCCAGCGACTTTCACCTGCGAGGCTGCTTGCACGGTGCCGACCGTTGCAAATGCGGCCGCCGGTGGCGTTTGCAAAGAGGTGGGGAAGATCCGAGAAGATCAGGAGCCATCGGACGCTTCTAGGAACAGGGCTGGCCTTACTACTAGTAACACGAGGACGCTACTAGGAACAAAGGGCATCGCTACTAGGAGCGTTCGGAGGCTACTAGGTTGGAGGCCATCCTTCTTAGGGGGGGGTCAGGCCATCGCTGGTTTAGAAGTCTCTAGAGGCCTTAGGGAAAGCTCCCCCCCGCAACACGAACGATCAGTGGTGTTCTTGTGCGGAGGTGCCCAGAGGCAGTGCCAGAGGCTTCACTTCACACTTCACTGCACATTCGATTTTCCAGGCGAAGGAAGGCGAGAAAATCCTGCCCTTCACCGACTGCTCGACCCAATGTGCTGCAGGGTACACGCCTTCGGTGCGGTTCATGATGCTTGGTCCAAACGCCTTCGGGAAGACGAAGCGGGCTGTGGGCCACAGATGGAATCTCTTCCCAAGACCGCGTGCACGAAGACAAAGAGCTTCTTCCCCGAAACCTCCTTGAGACAACAGGCTTTGCTCATTGTTCCTGAAATGTGGAGCTAAAACATGTTGCATGATGCTAGCACGTTTAGACAGGCAATAGGGTGGAGGCCATCGCTACCAGCTTGGAGGCCATTGCTATTAGGTTGGAGGCCATCGCTTCTAGATTGGATTTGGATGCTTCTTGGATTTCAAGGCATTTTCACATTTCGTTGCCTTTTGTTGGGCCACACTTGCTAGCCACTCTAGTCAGCGGTGTCGAGGAGCTGCCGAACCGGGAGCTTCACGCCCACCACCGTGCAGTGCAATGCTGATCCCTGTGAGGCACCCAGTGGAGTGGCTTGGCATGTCTTTGTCTCCTAAAGCCAGTGTCATCCTGGGTCATTTTCTTCATGTCAGACCCCTCAGCCTGTGTCATCGGTGGATTCAAACCAATCTCCTTGACGGAACGATTTGTGTATAACTCATCATGGTAGCTCTAAACTCTGAACAGAAGGAATGGGTTTCCGAATGGGACTAGATGAGCCCAGAAAGCTGGAGGGAAATTCAGGGAGGATGGCCATCAGTGTCGACCATGAAGCTGATCTGGAGATCATATCCAGTATAAGAAAAGCGATTAAAACTGGAAATGGGCCCTGGGCTCGCCTTAGCCAGGCTAAGCTCTTGGAGAGGGGGATGGAGAGAGGGAAACAGAGGAGGAAAGCAGAATCTCGGTTCGGATGACCAAGGTGAAGTTCGTTTCGAAAGATGGGCCGTGCAAGGAAGGCTTGACCTTGACATCAGGGTGGCATGGCGGCAGAAAAAGACACAAAAACAGCATGGTTTGATCAACATGGTTTTGATCATAGTATGATATCATGATAATTCGTTAATGGTCAAAACAGCATGATCCTGACGATTCAAACTATCGTTTGTACTCGTCTTCGAAGGTCATCCCAGATCTTGACGAAGTAGCTGACCTGTTTGCTTTGACCGTGTTCGCTGGTCCTAGAACTTGGCTTTGCACTCCCACTCATGTTGCTCAGTGGATGGCATGGCCATTGGAAAGACCATGAAGTCCTCTACCAACAGGGTTTTTTCCCCTTCCATGTTCGTGAGTGAAGTTTCTTCAGCAAGGACGCTACTAGTAACAAAGCACCTTTTCTACTAGTAACAAGAAGCCACTGGTAGCTCCTGGCATTGCTACTAGTAACAAATAGCTATAGTAGTAGTGTCCTTGTTGCTAGTAGTAATGCCAGTAGTTACTAGTAGCTTCGTGTTACTAGTAGTAAGGTGCCTTGTTACTAGTAGCTTCTTGTTCCTGGTGGTCAATGCCAAGAGCTACTAAGTGTGCTTTTCAGATGGTTTTCTTTCCACAGCCTTTTGAGGTCGAATTGTGAAGCGCAGTGCTTGGCACCTTGTCGAGACTTTGGAGGTCGAATTGGCAAAACACGACTATGGGTAGAATGGCGCATACCTATAGAGGAGGTACTTACGCCGTTGTATTCCAGGCAGCTGACAGGGCTCTTACCACAGGTTCAAGATGAGGAATTCAATTTGGAATGTGAGAGGGTCCATGAAATTCCTGGCATCTTTGTTTGGGGGTACCATGAGGTACCATACCGTACCATGGTGTGATTTTGCAGATAGTTGCCAGCCGTGAAGGATTTCAATTACTTGGTGTCACTGAGGCTGGTTACACGCCTTCAGCCGCAAAGTTGGCATGCCAGGCTGGCAGTCTGACTCCAGTGGCTTGGCAGGTCTTGTCCATAGCACATGTGATGAAAAGACTCCCCGGGAGTGAGTCTGAGTATTATGCCTGCATTCGTTGGTCGTTGGCTTTGTGCTGATGTTTCTACCATCTCCTCCCCATGTTCGGTGAGAAGAGCCCTCACGAGTACACCCATCGATGCACACGCACGCCACAACCAAGGCGACCTTTATGTGTGCAGCAAACCCCTGTGTGCTGCCCACTGTGGAGCAGTCCAATGGAAATGGCTGTAAGGGAATAGCCGGGACAAGCATCGAGTCTGGCCAGGCTCCGGTTTTGAGAGATTTTCAGAATACTTCATTCTTCAACGGGCTGGCTGCCGCCCATCAGATGTGAAGCCTAAGCCTTGGTTCATCACTGGAGCTTTCTGGGTTGACAGCACAGCTTTGTTTCACTGACAGCATTTGCTGCCGTTTCTGCAGGCGTGCAACACCATTTGCGAAGCAGGGTACAGCCCAAGTGTGGAGAGCTTGAGCTGTTTGGCTGCGACACTGACACCAGCCACTTTTGCATGCAATGCGGATCCATGCACCATCCCGTATGACAAAAATCAGGCGCGGCCATGATGATGAATTGAAGCCGAGACCTAGCGCTAGCAGCTAGTTGACTAAACAAGCCAGGTTGTGTCGGAGAACGCAAGTGAAAGATCTAATCTAGGACGTGTAAACTTGGCAAATGCGTTTTTTGCACTCCCAGTTTTCCTCCGTTCATCTCAGTTCATCCTTCTTTTGTGGACATTGTGCATCCGAAGCCCTCCTAGCTTCCCAGGCAGGAAGTGGCTGTATTGATGTGGAGCTCAAGGATGGTGCCACCACCATCGAGTCCTCTCAGAAGTGCCAGGCTCAATGCAAGGCGAGCTGTTTGTCGCAAGAAACGCTGTACGTTTTGACAGGCACCCAGATACTGAATCACACACATGGAGTGTAGTGTAGGGCCATGGTGGGCCATGTAGTGCCTACAAGTTGTAAAAAGAACATATAAATCAATGCCGTGACCTGTGCCATAACCATAGCAGTGGTTTGATTCATTCTCGCCGTTCAGCTATTCCTACAGAAGGCTTGATCTAAGTATATCTAAGGTCTAAGTGTTGATCACTGGTTCCTTTGATGGGAGTGTCGGACCATTGCCGCAGGAAGGGTATCACCCCTCTGCTGTGAGCTTATCTTGCTTTGCTGCTGGCTTGACGCCTGCTACATGGAGCTGTTTGGAGGACGGACATGTGATGGGTTGCTGGCCATTGCTATTAGGTTGGAGGCCATGCTAGTAGGTGGGAGGCGGGCTCAGGGTTTCCAGTCAAGTCTCGAAACATCTCAGACGTACCTCACTGCACAGGATCCTTGCATACCTCCCAAGAACATCAAGAATGCTCCAGAGCTCACTTGCCGACAAGGTGATTCGATTGTCTCAGGAACAGGATGCACTACGCTTTGTGATAAAGGCTACACACCCAACTACAAGTCTTTATCATGCCACCTGGGTGAATTCTCTCCACCCACCTACGTGTGTCAACCTGATCCCTGTGCAGTACATGCAGTACCCAACCGCTTGGGCAGCGGCTGCAAGGACGTGAAGCACCCTGCATTGATCGGATCGGGAGCTAGTTGCACCACGCAGTGCAGGAAAGGATTCTCCCCTTCCGTGGCGGCACAGAAGTGCTTCGCCGGGTCCATGACGCCCACCTTTTGGAGTTGCCTCGAAGATCCCTGCGACGCGCCCACGGGCGTGCGCCACACTGACGCCCCTTGTAAGGAAGGAAAGTCGGTGAGTTCAGGTCAATTGTGCACGGCACAGTGTGCTGATGGCTACTCCCCATCGGTGCCTTCGTTGTTTTGCAGCCTCGGCCAGCTCACTCCACAGACCTTTGATTGTGCTCCAGACCCTTGTCCCATTCCGCATGTGCCAAACAAACATGGCAGCGGTTGCAAGGGAATCCACGGCACCACCGTGAACGCTGGGAGTAGTTGCACTCCAGCATGCAAAACGGGGTTCTCTCCTTCTGAAAGCTCTTTGCAGTGTGCTGCGTCAAAGCTCACTCCTGGCACTTTTGTTTGTGAGCCGGATTCTTGCAGCATCACTCCTATTGAGAAGGCCCATGGGACTGGCTGCAATGATGGCATGCGTTCCCGGATCACCTCAGGAGGTGAATGTGAGGCCAAATGCCAAGATGGATATCAGCCCTCTTCAGCCAAGCTCGGTTGCTATGCGGGGATTTTCACTCCTTCCACTTTCACCTGTGATCCAAGCCCATGCACCATTCCACAGGTGACCAACAAAGCTGGATCTGGATGTGCTGGAGTTCCTGAAACGGCCATCGCATCGGGTACCACCTGTAAGGCCCACTGTCTTGGAGGCTACTCGCCGTCGGAGTCCCAGCTCACTTGCACGGCCGGGACTTTAGCACCCGCCACCTTCGAGTGCTCGCCGGACCCCTGTCCAATGCCAACAGTCACTTGGGCAAAGAGGAGGGAGGATAGGGAGGGAGAGTCAGAGAGAGCATGGGAGAAGCAGAAGAAATTGCATTCTTACTGCACTCATGTTTGGAACAATCTTGTCAGAAGTGGGGATGCGTGGGGTGTTATGACATCATGTTTGGCCATGGCTGAGGTCAGCAATCAAAAAGGCAACGGCTGCAAAAGCATGCGGGGCAAGGTGATCGCATCCGGAGCTGTTTGTCAAGCAGAGTGCATCAGGGGCTACACGCCTTCAGTCGCCACTTGGACCCCAAACGCATCCGACCCCCCTGTGAAAGAGAGGAGACCGTGTTCACCTACATAAGGGGCCCGTGCCTGTATACACTGTACTTCGATTAGTTGAACCTCAATTATGCAATATGATGCATCTAGACTTCTAGATTGAAGAGGTCAACATGCCTGTGGTTTCAGTTGCTTGATCTGTTTTTGCTATTGATGTGAAGCCTGTGGACTTCGGAGGCGAAGCTGGATTGTTTCGCTGGCCGCCTCACCCCCAACAGCTACATGTGCAAAGAGGACGGTTGCAAAGCAGTCACAGGCTCGTGGCCGCGTACATTATCAATGTTACAATGGGTTGTCACATTGATGTTCATCATTCCATCATTGACCACACGTGGCTTGCTTTCCTTCTTGAGCTCTTTGGCGCTCTGTCACCAAAGTCAGCATGGAAGGCAACACGTAGAAGTAGAGGTGTCCGGAAGGAAACTCACTCGCCTTGTTAGTTACAAGCCGACTTCGCATGAGAATGCTCTTGGATTGGTTTTTGTGGATCCAGGTGTCCCAAATGCTCCATCTGTTGGGTGCCAAGAGGGTGGGCTTATCCTTGGCGGGAAATCCTGCACGCCACGCTGCAATGCCTCCAGGCGGCAGGAAGGTTGTCACACAGGGGCCACCGAGTTCTTTTCCGAATCTCTTGTTTCAGCATGTTTCAGCCAACTGCAATCCGCAATTTGCACCACGTGGACATGGGAATGCTGCCACAAGTGAATGTCTAAGGCCGGATACAGTCCATCTGAAACGACTCTTGATGCTGAGCTGCATTGGTCTTGCAGCCCATGTGTCATCGCACAACACATCAGAGAGCTACTGTAATTATATCGGATTATATGGGTATTTATATACCGTATCATTGTTGTTTGTTTCTTAAACAACTTTTTAACCTTTACCATCCTTTACCACTCACCACCAGTACTACTAACTACTAGTACGGCGACGGCGACGACAACTAACAATTAAAGGACCGGATAACCCCACATATGAATCTTTACGAATCTTAAGTGTCTAAAGCACAAAGCAGTCAGAGGAGTCTCAATAGCTTCTACAACACGGCCTTGCCAGGAAGTGATATCAGCTTCCGACAACAGAGGGGTCGGAGAGAAGGTGTAAGAGAGTGATGTGCACGACGGATGTACGAGGTATTGTGCACACAGGTGTGCGCAGCCACAACTAGCCAACAACACCAGCGGTTGTCGCACGTCCGCAATACGGGGCATAATGTACGAAAGTTGTACTACAAAGTCGCCAGTTCTCAGCTTCCAGCTCCACAGATTGCTCCGCGTACTAAAGTTGTACTACAAAGTCGCCAGTTCTCAGCTTCCAGCTCACGGATTGCTCCGCGTACTACAGTTGTACTACCAAGTCGCCAGTTCTCATCTTCCCACTCCCCAGCTACTCCGCGTACTAAAGTTGTACTACCAAGTCGCCAGCTCTCATCTTCCAGCTCCCCAGCTAGTCCGCGTACTAAAGTTGTACTACAAAGTCGCCAGTTCTCAGCTTCCAGCTCCACAGATTGCTCCGCGTACTAAAGTTGTACTAGAAACGCGCCAGTTCTCAGCTTCCAGCTCCACAGCTACTCCGCGTACTAAAGTTGTACTACAAAGTCGCCAGTTCTCAGCTTCCAGCTCCACAGATTGCTCCGCGTGCTAAAGTTGTACTACAAAGTCGCCACTCCTACCCTGCAGCTCCACAGCTACTCTGCGCACGAAAGTTGTACTACAAAGTACACACGGAGCCAGGTCTACTGCGATTTACAATGGGACAGCGTCGCCGGCGCCACCAACCTCCCACCCCCGACCAAGCACCACCCAGACCCTCTAACGGAGCCAGATCTACTGCGATTTACAATGCAACAGCGTCGCCGGCGCCCACACCCGACCAGAGCCGACCAGCGCCGACCAAGCAACCACCAGACCCTCTAACGGAGCCAGATCTACTGCGATTTACAATGGGACAGCGTCGCCGGCGCCCACACCCGACCAGAGCCGACCAGCGCCGACCAAGCAACCACCAGACCCTCTAACGGAGCCAGATCTACTGCGATTTACAATGGGACAGCGTCGCCGGCGCCCAGAGCCGACCAGCGCCGACCAAGCAACCGCCAGACCCTCTAACGGAGCCAGATCTACTGCGATTTACAATGGGACAGCGTCGCCGGCGCCCACACCCGACCAGAGCCGACCAGCGCCGACCAAGCAACCACCAGACCCTCTAACGGAGTCAATGAGTCAGTGGTGTCAGATGAGCGGTGTGTGATGAGTGGTGTGTGGTGAGTGGTGTGTGATGAGTAGTGTAAGATGAGTGGTGTGAGATGAGTAGTGTAAGATGAGTGGTGTGAGATGAGTGGTGTGTGATGAGTGGTGTGTGATGAGTGGTGTGTGGTGAGTGGTGTGTGATGAGTCGTGTGTGATGAGTCGTGTGTGATGAGTGGTGTGTGTGATGAGTGGTGTGTGATGAGTGGTGTGTGATGAGTCGTGTGTGTGATGAGTGGTGTGTGTGATGAGTGGTGTGAGATGAGTGGTGTGAGATGAGTGGCGTGTGATGAGTGGTGTGTGATGAGTGGTGTGTGATGAGTGGTGTGTGAGATGAGTGGTGTGTGGGAGGAGCGGAGGAGCGGGAGAAGCGAAGCGGGATGAGACATAGAAAAGAAGAACCCCACACTAAGATGTGGGGAACAACAACAACTGCTGCTACTACTACTCTTTCTGAAGGTCTCAGCACAGTCACATTGCAGTCACCATCCCTCACTACTTGGCAGGCGTTCATCTTGCCGCAATACAAAAAATACCATTGAGCAAAACTTCGCCCCCTCACCGACCCATTGTTTTTCCTGGTCACTTTCCTGGTCACTTTCAGGACCCCTCACCAAGGCCTGTAGCCGTGGAGTGTTGACGCCGGTCAGCTTTGAGTGCAAAGCTGACTCCTGTGACCTGGCAGAGATGGACGGGTTTGGGCGCCGGAAGGGTCTACCCAATCCCTCAGGCCTTTAGAAAGGATTTTGGCATGTCTAAATCACCTTCCACGGGGGCCATGTTCCGCTTCAATGATTTGGGCGCTTGAAAGTTGAACCTTTTGTTGATGTCTCCTTGTTTCCACTTCCGTCAGCTAAATCTGTTTGATCGATGTTTGAATGTTATTGATATGATTCATCGTGCTATCCCAGCGCTGTGATGCGTTCTGTGAGGTGATGTACCCTATGTGGCGAACTCTCAGAACCCGACCTGCACAGAGGCGTTCCGTTTGACGGATCACCGGTGGTGGCCAGTTAGAGTCTGACAGTCATTTGTTGTCGTGTGATGGTCACGCTATGTCATGGTCATATACTTTTTGTCGAGATTTGAATATTTGTTCAAGCCCCACTCTGGGTGGCCTTTCGTGTAGCCTTTAGGCTGTGATCTCTTTTGTTGAAAGCGCCATGAAGCCACAACACCTTCTTTGGGCAGTTGCCTGCTGCTGCGCGGCCGGGGATGATGTGCAAGCTGCTTTGCAAGATGACTGCGCCAGCTCAGCAGTGAAACTTCTTCAAGTGGCTTCAAGAAAGGGAGACTGTGCAGCCCACTGCAAGTACGAAGGTGCTGCAGTGTGGCAATATGACCCTGATTGCAAAGGTTGTGCAGCACAGGCCGCCGAAACCATGCCCAGTAGCAACGATGCAACGTGCCAAGATCATTGCAAGTATGAAGGCACAATTGTATGGCAGTACGATCCAGGATGCAAGGGGTGTTCTCATGTCCTCATCCAGGAGATGTTGCTCCAGTCCAGATCAAGCTCGGCTTCAAAGGCAGCGACAGGATGTGCTGATCATTGCAAGTACGAGGGTGTCGTGGTGTTGCAGTATGACCCAGACTGCCGGGATTGCGATCCGGCAGAAGCATCCCCGAAGACCTTTTCAGTAACATGCCAGGACCACTGTAGCTACGAAGGCAGCCAGGTTTGGCAGTATGACCCAGGATGCAAAGGTTGCTCTCACGCACTCGTCCAAGAGATGTTGCTCCAGTCCCGGTCGCGCGAAACTTCGGCAACGGGATGTGCTGACCATTGCAAGTACGAGGGCGTGGCAGTGCTGCAGTACGACCCAGCATGCCAGGATTGTTCGCTGGGGGTGGCAAAGATGCCGCAAAGCGAATCACCAACGTGCAAGTACCACTGCACTTACGAAGGCAGTCAGGCTTGGCCACATGATCCAGGGTGCCAAGGGTGCTCTCACGCACTCATCCAGGAGATGCTGCTCCAGTCAAGATCGCACAAAACTTCAGGGGAGGCAACGGGATGTGCTGACCATTGCAAGTATGAGGGTGCGGCAGTGTTGCAGTACGACCCAGCGTGCCAGGATTGTGCGGCAACACTTGGTGCAATGCCACCAGCCACGTCTTCATCGTGCCAAGATCATTGCAAGTACGAAGGGAGCCAGGTTTGGCAGTATGACCCAGCGTGTCAGGGCTGCGCCAGATAGTATAGGGTGACTGCCTGCACACTATTGGTTCATATTGTTCATTTTGGATTCTTTTGGCTTCTGCCCCTTTTCCCCCAACGCAGACATAGGATTCAGAAAGCAGACCTCAGTTGGACAGTGCGCTCTAAAACTCACAAAATGGTGCGTGCTTGTGCGAGTCGGTTACAAAGTTGGGACAACTTGAGGTGAAGGACCATGTGGTGGGACAAACGAACTTGTGGTGCTTGATGTTTGCAATTTGTTGCGTGTTTTCCTTTTTGGTCGTTTCACTGCATCAAAAGGTCGGCGACTAGTCACAGTCAGTCGACCAATTCTTCAACTGGCTCAGGGCAACAGCATTGAGCACAACAAGAAATGCACTCCCAGATGCTGCTTGGCCCTAGGTGGTTGGAGAAAGGCATACTGCACACTCCTGACATCACCTGACATATTCCTCGTTTACTCCTAGTCAGGGCTTAGGATCATAGAATGCTTTGGCTTCGAAGCAGATTGCCAACGAGTGCTTCGAAGCAGATTGCTTGTGCGCTCATCTCTTGGGCCTCGCCCTCGGCTTCAGGTCAGGCAAATTATGTCGCATCCACGGGCCAGCTTTCGTGCACAGCTGGATCGCTAAGTCCCTCCACCTTTGTTTGCAAAGCCTGCGGCTGAGATTCGTGCACTGTACGGCCAAGTCCGTCCAGACGAGCTTTTGTTTGAAGACACACCAGTCCTTTGGTCAGACACAGTCCGTAAAATGCGTCAATCGGATGGGCATCAAACGTCTCTTTTTTGACTTCTGCGCCGTATTTGGTGCTCTTAGGCTCCGTGTGCTGCACCAAACGTGCCTGGGTCATGTTCACATTGACATGCCAGTGGATAACTGGTTTTCAAGAAACTGTTCTTGAGTGAAGCTCTGAAGTGCATCATGTGGTGCAGTTTGCTGAGGCCCTGAATGCACAGTCGCTGTGCAAGGAAGGCAACTTGATTATTCATGGCAAATCATGCACTACCCAATGCGACGTCTCTTGGCCAATTCTTTTTTGACGCATGGACGACGCGACCAATTCAAACGGAGTCCGTTTGACATCCTTGAGGCTTGGGGACGTGGTGTGTTTGCAACTCAGGCTGGGTACCAACCGAACAAGGCTTCCTTGGAGTGCAACGACGGTGTTCTGCTGCTCGGCACACTCATTCCTGAAGATTCTGGAATGGCCAGAGGGTGCCAGGCGTTGCTTACTTTTTTGCTTGGATTGCAGTACTGACTGAGCCGAAGCTTTGC